GTATTAATGATGCCATTTCTTGCTGTGTGACCCCCCCCCACAAATCACTGAAATCCTCTGCGCTCCAATCCTCCCCTCCCTCCCCCCACACCTGTCACAGCAGGTAGCAGTGAGGAGTCAAAAGAGAGGAAAACACTTTGAAAACTGCAAATCTGCAAATCATTGCTAATTGTCAAGAAGGTTGCTGGGTGGTCTAAGGCTTGGGAACTAGGCCCTACATTTCACCTTCTACTTTGAGGCTTTCAGGAATTAGAGGCAAGAATGAGTCAAGGGATGAGGGGCAGGAGACTCCCGCAGGACAATTTTCATAAGGTGGTCCCAAGACCCAGTCGATGAGGTTGGTTATCAAGTGTGAAAGAAATGTAGGAATAGCTCACAGTCTGGTTAAAGCCAAACGTCATCTCTAAATACCTATGTTTACATTTTTCTGATGTACTGTTGGGTGCAGAGACCCTCAACTTCTTGCTTGGTTACCTCCTAAAATAATGGTTGAAAACTCCATAGTTTCTCAGACCCATTTAAGTTAACACCGGTGTGTGGCCTTATGTCTGGGTTCCCTATTCTGTTCCATTTGTCTATGTGTTTGTTTTCGTACTGGTACCATGTAGCTTTATACCGTAGTTTGAAGTCTAATAATGTGTCTCTGGCTTTGTTCTTTTTGCATAGAATTGCTTTGGCTGTTCAGGCTCTCTTTTGGTTCCAAATAAATTTTAGAATAGTTTTTTTTTCTAATTCTGTGAAAAAAACTGACATTAGCAATTTCATAAAAATAGTGTTGAATCTGTAGATTGCTTTGGACAGTATGGCCATTTAACATACCGATTCTTCCAATTCATGAGCATGGGATGTTTTTCCCGTTGTTTGTGTCATCTATGATTTAAAAGGAAAGCTTTTACATAGCTTTTAAAATGGTTTCCCCTGGAATCTAAATGTCATAGCAATTTCATATCAAACATAATTCAATTTAAACATACATGAACAAGCTCATCTTTAACAGGCAAAAAATTACTCCATTTACTCCTTAAACTTGTATTTCCATTCCACTTTCCATACATTATATTATGTTAATACGAGATACTCAATGCCTGAAATTCTTCTATTGATCACCCATAATTATCTATGACAAAAACATGCATATAAATTGAAATTAATTTTTAATATTTTCTGTGACCATATGGCTCCAGGTATCAAAGAAATCTCTCTGGACTGAATTATCATTAAAGGTACTGTTAATATGCAATTTATCAAAATAACAAAAATATTTTAAAGAAATTATTAAACATAAAAATTAGGATTTTATTGGGAAAGTTATTCTTCACTTCTTACTAAAATAGGTAGAGTCCTCCAACAATATTTTTCTAATTTTACAATTATTGTTGCTATTGCTACTGTAAGCACTATAAAACTTTCTTGATGTAAAGAAGCACATAAGCTGGGTGTGACTGTTCATGCCTGTAATCCCAGCACTTTGAGAGGAGGATTGCTTGAGCCTGGGAGTTAGAGACCACCTTGAGCAACACAGTGAGATCTCACCTCTACAACAAATAAAAACATTGATTTTCTGGCCATGGTGACTCACACCTGTAAGTCCCAGTTTCAAGGGAGGCTGAGTTAGGAGGATCCCTTGAGCCCAGGAGTTTGAGGCTGCAGTGAGCCATGATTGTGTCACTGCATCCCAGCCTGGGCGACAGAGCAAGATCCTGTCTCAAAAAAAAAAAAAAAAAAAAAAAAAAAAAGGCCGGGCACAGTGGCTCAAGCCTGTAATCCCAGCACTTTGGGAGGCCAAGGTGGGTGGATCACCTGAGGTCAGGAGTTGGAGACCAGCCTGGCCAACACGGTGAAACCCATCTCTACTGAAAATACAAAAAAATTAGCCAGGTGTGGTGGTGCATGCCTGTAATCCCAGCTACTTGGAAGTCTGAGGCAAGAGAATCGCTTGACCTGGGAGGTGGAGGTTGCAGTGGCTGAAATCAGGCCATTGCACTCCAGCCTCAGCAACAAAAGTGAAACTCTGTCTCAAAAAAAAAAAAAAAAAAAAAGAAAGAAAAGTAAGGTCGGGCACGGTAGCTCAAGCCTGTAATCCCAGCACTTTGGGAGGCCGAGGAGGGTGGATCATGAGGTCAAGAGATCGAGACCATCCTGGTCAACATTGTGAAATCCCGTCTCTATTAAAAACACAAAAAAAGTAGCTGGGCATGGTGGCGTGTGCCTGTAATCCCAGCTGCTCGGGAGGCTGAGGCAGGAGAATTGCCTGAACCCAGGAGGCAGAGGTAGCGGTGAGCTGAGATCGCACCATTGCACTCCAGCCTGGGTAACAAAAGTGAAACTCTGTCTCAAAAAAAAAAAAAAGAAAGGAAGAGAAGAAGTAGACAAGAATGGAAGCAATTTTATAATAGCAATATCAATTACTCAAGCTCCTTCTGATACAGTGATCTATCATCAACAATATTTAATGATCTAATTTTATGACAACTCAATTAGGTCTTCTCTCAATTTTCATGAAAGCAAAGAATTAGAAATCATCTGATCTGCAGAAAGATTTATTACTTAGTCAATAGAATCATTCATTTTCTAAAAAAGCCGCCGCCAATCCAGCAATTTGTCTGGCATCGCAGATAATCTGCCCTGCTGGGGCAATGCACCCTAGTAAGATGGGAGAGAGTGAAGGATGTCTTGCATTTCTGAAGCGGCTGCTATGAAAGAGGAGACAGAATGAAGAGGCTCCATTCAGCAGCAACGGCTCACAGTCATTCAGTTCTCACCAGAGCAATTACAGGAAAGAATGCATGGAAATCACAGACCTAGAATTTAAAAAGAACAAAAACCATATACCTGTGTAGCCTTAGAAAGTCCTCATCTACCCCTGAAGATGAGGGTACCCAAATTTGAAGCTCATGGCTGTGAACCCATTAAACTGGGAGGTGAATCTCCACGGAGCTGGGAACTAGCAGCTGGAGCTTCCTTGACATCGCCAGGTGGCTTTCTCCAGGTGACTTTGTGGATCACAGGGCCCTTTGAAATGTTAGAGGTCCCCAGGGAAAAGAGATTCTCAGGACAAAAAAGTTTGGGGAAAGCTTCCTATTCCTTCTGCCTCTTACAGATTCACAATACAATCTGCATACTAAAGACTAAAGAAATCTGATTAACTTTGTGTAATGCAAAATTTCCCAAACTAACCCGGCTCTCCCCTCCCACCTCCTTCTTTCACTAAGAATGCCTGAGTACAAATAGAGACTTCAGTCATCTGCTCCGGAGCCTGGTGCAGTCCTGAGAGCTCCAAGATGGATTTCCATCTGTGCCCTCCCTATAAGACCTGGGTGATTTATGGCAGCCATCGGCCTTCTAAAGCTCTCCAGAGGGACTAGGACCTGAGATCGGTTTGTTTCCTTGTGTGAACCAAAAAGTATCTGAGTCAGATCTCCATCAGTTTTGAAGTTTATTTTTCCAAGGCTAGGGACATGCCCGGAAGAAATAAACATGGAATCCCAGAAACAGTCTGTGGTCTGCGTTTTTCTCCAAAGATGATTTTGAGGGCTTCAAAGGGGAAAAGTAGGCTGGAGGGGAAAGGGGAAGGGTGTGGTCACATGACTGAAGGCACAGGTTGCAAGAGAAAAGGAGCAAGTAGGGGAACAGCCAATTATGTATTCACCTCGAGTCTGTAAGGTGAACATAGAGTAACTATCTGCAGGGATACTGAATATTTTATCCCTAGCTATCTTAGGAACAAAAGGTACCTTCATGCATGACTCGGCTTTCAGCTGAATTTGTTTTCTTCTGGCACAGTGAATTGGGGTCCTAAGTTTTTATTTTCCCTTTATACTTGCACTTTATGGATTCTGTTACCTACTCAGAAAATGCTACATTCTGTTCTAGCTTTCCTATTGATGTCATTCACTTTTAGATGGAGGCTCTCATATAATTGGAAGGTTTCTGCAATATTGACTTTGGGCAGCACCCACAGCAGATAGGAACTTGAAAGTATTTCCTACATGTTACATCCACAAGCAGATGGTCAGCTAGGCACATCCCTAGCTGTCCCTGTGGGTCCCCTGGTCATCGACAGTATGGTGCCAGCTGAGGAGGATTAAAATCAGATGCAGAGGAAAGTAAAAAGTCCAAACACGTAACAGTGGGGAGTGTGTAAGGGAGAGGGAGATGCTGTCTGAAAACAGGTGCCTGTCTTTCATTATACCCAGAGGCACGTGATCTTAATTTTTTTTTAATGATCTGGCTTAAATTTTCCATTTTTCATTGCAAAACACCAAGAGTTGGCTACACAGTCAGGATGAAGAGGAGCACACAAATTTCAAGCGTCATAGCTGGAAAGAGAGGCCTCCTAAGTTGTGCATTGCGTGGGAATGAGGACCAAGTCACCTGACTCCATACAGGCTTTGGGACATCTCAGGCATCTAATCCCTCTAATCCACCAAAGAGACACGATAATGAGCCCCTACTGTCCCTTCCCTTTTCATCAAGAAGACTGCAGATTAGAGACTAGTCAATATTCTATGCACAAGTCATAAATATCTGGTAGCACGTAGATCAGTTAGATTCTCCATCCTTGACTGCAGCTCAAAACTCAAATCAATCAGAACCTGCTGGGGGAAAAAAGACAGCCTGTAGAGCACCTTTTTTTTTTTTCTTGAAATACAAGAATCATGAAGCATATCTGCCTGTATTCAGATCCCCTATTCAGAACAAGTGAATTGGATGGCACCAACAGCAAACAACACAGATTCCTGGCTCTGCCGCAGCCAAAATGCATTTTGCCCTTTGGAAACCTCAGTTCCAACCTGAGAAGTTGGAAAGGCACTAATGAATCTGTATAAGGCTCCACAAACCAAGGAGGGCAAAACAGCAAATAGCTGGAAGAAATGAGAGTAAGAGTGAAAACAAGCTTTTTATTTTAAAACAACTAGAGATTTCTTGGAGAATTATATATTTTTTAAATGCCTTTTTATGGGAAAATAAAGGCAGCAGAAATAAAATGGCTTACTTACATTTAAAGGAGAGTTTGGCAGCTGAAATGTGATGGAAATAAACTCTCCGCTCTCCAGGTCCCAGAGAGCGCTGCCCCGGGATAGACTACACCATCGGCACCACAGACCACCCGTTCTGGAGGGAGGGTGCCTTAAGCTCTGATTAAAAATTTATCCAGGTGTGGAGAACAGCTGTAGCTGATTTACTCAGCGTGCCTCTGCCAATTTCCCAAGGAAAAAAAAAAAAACAATCTTTTTCTCTCCATCTGCCCTTCCAAGAAGTAGCTGAGGACAGGGAGAAACAGAAATTCTAAGTGTTGCTCAAGTGGGTGTGTTCTGTTCCAAACCCACAGTGTGGCATAAATCTGTCATTTTGATTCCGCTGGGGAGGCATCTGCAAACCCGAAAAGTGAGAAATGAAATTAGCCCAGGTGTGAACCTGGGTGCGAGGCTGAGGGGCGGGGAAGGGGGACGTGGCCATGGGTATGGAACTGGGGGCAGGGCTGGTCCCTTTGCAGTGTGTGTGTGTGTGTGTGTGTGTGTGCGCGCGCGCGCGCGCGCACGCGCGCGTGTTGATGGAAGCCTCATTTACACACAGCACAAGGAAGCTGGGCCTTCTCCTCCGTAGTTGGTGAATCTGTCAGACTGCAGGGAATCAAACAACAGCAGGCAGGTGTCAACGTTTAAATGCCTAAACAAGCCTTATCTATCCAAGGGCTGAGGCCATGGCCCACGGCTGGGCCTAGGCTTAGAGAAAACTAAAACCGCGCCCGGCTGGATTATTTATTCTTTATCATTATGCTTTAGTTTGTTTTTTATTTTAATACAGATGAGGCCTCACTGTCACCCAGGTTTGAATGTAGTGGTGAGATCACAGCTCACTGCAGCCTCAACCTCCTGGGCTCAAGTGATCCTCCATCCCAGCCTCCTGAGTAGCTGAGACTACTGGTGCACTCCACCACACCCAGCTATTTTTAAAATATATATAGTTTTTGTAGAAACCAGGTCTCACGGAATGGGCAAGGTGGCTCAAGCCTGTAATCCCAGCACTTTGGGAGGCCGAGGCGGGTGGATCACGAGGTCAACAGATCGAGACCATCCTGGTCAACATGGTGAAACCACGTCTCTACTGAAAATACAAAAAATTAGCTGGGCACGGAGTTGTGTGCCTGTAATCCCAGCTACTCAGGAGGCTGAGGCAGGAGAATTGCCTGAACCCAGGAGGCGGAGATTGCGGTGAGCCGAGATCGCGCCATTGCACTCCAGCCTGGGTAACAAGAGTGAAACTCCGTCTCAAAAAAAAAAAAAAAAAAGAAACCAGGTCTCACTATGTTGCCCAGGCTAGTCTTAAACTCCTGGCCTCAAGCCATCCTCCCACCCTAGCCTCCCAAAATGTTGGGATTACAAGTGTGAGCTCTGTGTCTAGACGTCATCAGAAGATTAGACAAAGCTCTAATTCTTTGGGATTGCTTTGAGTTATTATTCTCTGCCTCCAAAGAAGCCTCAAGTATTTCCAACCAACTTATTCTATTCTGTTTTATTTTAGTCACAGCCTGCAAATTAGTGGAGAGGAAGAGGGATTACTTCTCGAACAGCAAGGCCACTCCAGCGCTGTTGTAGCATAAACTAAAACCCACCACCCTAGGCCCTGCAGGAGTAGCAAGAAAAGCAAGGAGGCATGGCAGGAAGGCTTAGGATTAGGTGGCAGGTAGGTCATTTGCGTGCAAATCCCCGCTCAGATTTTGGGCTTCAACTGTCAGCTTCAATTGTTTCATTTCTAAAGTGGCCCTCACCTTAAGGTCACCATGCACACTGAAGATGATCACATCAAGTGCAGGGCACACAGCAGCCATGTAGATGGCAGCTGTCAGTCCTATTACTATTGTAATAATTACTCTTCTTTCAAAATCAGAGTAACACTGTCATCGGGTGGGACACTGGTGGATTAAGGACAGACTTCAGATATTACCAAGGCTGCTTCATGGAAGGTTGCTGGGGTGGAAGGGGAGGCAGACTGCTAGAGAGAGTAGGGCAGAAGGGCTGGGGGTGGTGTGCCTGGGACAGGTAAGAATCAGTGCCCCAGACCCAGGGGTGAAGGGAAGGGGCATGAAGGATGGTGGGAGCATTATGATAAAGGCAACAGACTCGGGGGACAGTTCCAAACCAGAAACAGAGCAGACTTCTGGACTGAGCACGTCCTTCTGGACCGGACAATGCAGAAGTGGCCTGGAGCTCACAACCAAGGTATGGCACTAGGGACGAGTGGGGACTCCTCTCCTGGGCTCCTTCTGCAGAAGGGGTGCATGGAGCTGCTCATCTAAGCATGAGGATAGCAGAGCCCCTTTTATGGGACTTCAGGAGGAGCCGAGAAGGTGCAAATTACTTGGGCAGTATAATCTCCAAACTTTGGCCAGGCACGGTGGCACACACCTGTGATCCCAGCGCTTTGAGAGGCTGAGAAACGGGGACTGCTTGAAGCCAGGAGTCGAGACCAGTGTGGGCAACATAGGGAGACTCGGTCTCTACAAAAAATTTAAAATTTACCCAGGCATGGTGGCATGTGCCTGTAGTCCCAGCTACCCAGAATGCTGAGGCAGGAAGACTGCTTGAGCCCAGGAGTTTGAGGCTACAGTGAGCTATGCCTGCACCACTGTACTCTAGCCTGGGCAACAGAACAAGACCCTATCTCAAAACTTAGAAACATCCAGGCTTTCTGGATTGCTTACATGATTTGATCAGGTACTTTGTTTTATGCTATTCCATGTTATTAATTATCATACACATGTTTAGTTATAACTTATTCATACGTATGGATGACATATGAAGTGCAGCTTAGGTTAGAGAGCAAACACAGAGAGATCTGCTGTACAATGCTGCGCCTAATGCTCACTGTCTTGTGCCCTTAAAATTCTGTTGAGGGTAGATCTCATGTTAATGGTTCTTACAATTAAAAAACACACAAACATCCTGGGCATGGTGGTTCACACCTATAATCCCAGCACTTTGGGAGGCCGAGGCAGGCGGATCTCTTAAAGCCAGGAGTTCAAGACCAGCCTGGCCAACATGGTAAAACTCTGTCTCTACTAAAAATACACACAATAGCTGAGTGTGGTGGTGCACACCTATAATCCCAGCTATTTGGGAGGCTGAGGCAGGAGAATCACTTGAACCCGAAAGGTGGAAGTTTCTGTGAGCTGAGATTGCACCACTGCACTGCAGCCTGAGCAATAGAATGAGACTCTCTCAAACACACACACACACACACACACACACACACACACACACAAAACTTCCAATGTTTTTTTCCTGCCTTCCAATGGATTTTCTTACACATCCAGTTTTGGATATTTCTGGTCCCAAAAAGCAGGAGGTTGGGTCAGGAACAAGGATTTTTCCTCTCCAACCTCATAGGAATAAGAAAAGTCATTTTGGCTGGGCACAGTGGCTCACGCCTGTAATTGCAGCACTTTGGGAGGCCAAGGCAGATGGATCACGAGGTCAAGAGTTCAAGACCAGACTAGCCAACATGGTGAAACCCTGTCTCTTCTGAAAAATACAAAAATTAGGTGGGCATGGTGGCTCGTGCCTGTAATCCCAGCTACTTGGGAGGCTGAGGTAGGAGAACTGCTTGAACTGGGACCCAGGAGGCAGAGGTTACAGTGAGCCAAGATCATGCCACTGCACTCCAGCCTGGGTTACAGAGCAAGACTCCATCTCAAAAAAAAAAAAACAAAACAAAAACAAAAGAGAAAAGTCACTTTTTCTTCCTCTAATACAAACAACTAAAAAGGCTGAAAGTAGAATAATCTTTTTGTTTTTGTTTGAGACAGAGTCTCACTCTATTGCCCAGGCTGGAGTGTGGTGGTGCAATCTCAGCTCACTGCAACCTCCGCCTCCCGGGTTCAAGTGATCTCCTGCCCCAGCTTGCCAAGTACCTGGGATTACAGGTGCCCACCACCACACCTGGCCAATGTTTGTATTTTTAGCAGAGACAGGGTTTCACCATGTTGGTCAGGTTGGTCTCGAACTCCTGACCTCAAATGATCCATCTGCCTCAGCCTCCCAAAGTGCTGGTATTACAGGCGTGAGCTGCAGTGCCCGGCCACACAATCATTTCACTTAGGAGTTTTATAACCTGAAATAGTTCCTGAGAGAAGCAGCATTTTCCTGGGGCAAACCATGGCAGATTCTTAGTCTTCTCTTTGGCGGTGGTCTCTGTGAGCTCTTTGACATGGAGCAAGAATACTCTTTTAGTTTTCCTTTTTGGAATGTCTCAGGACAGGTGACATAGGACAGTGAGCTGGAAGTACAAACAGACAAGCACAGATACAGGGAACTGTCTTCTAAATTCAGACATCATTCCTGCTCTGAAAACAGCTTCTAAACGGAGCCAACAACTCCCTGAACTGCATCAGGAATAACCGCATCCCCTTCCATCTTCCACCTGATTAGATGGACTTTTTTTGTTTTTTTAGACAGACTCTCACTCTGTCACCCAGGCTGGAGTGCAGTGGTACGATCATGGTTCACTGCCACCTCCCGTTCCTGGGCTTAAGCAATCCTCCCACCTCCACCTCTCGAGTAACTGAGAGGCTGCAGCTACAACTGTAAGCACCCGCCCCCACGCTGGGCTAATATTTTTGCAGAGAGGGGGTTTCACAATGTTGCCCGGGCTGGTCTCAAACTCCTGAGCTCAGGAGATTCTCCTGTGTCAGTTTCCCTAAGTGCTGGGATTACAGGCTTGAGCCACCATCCCCCATCAAGACTTTTTTTAAAGAAGGATTTTAAAAGCTTAACAATGAGAATAGACCCAACAGGTTGGCCATTCCAACTCACCTTTGCTTTTTTCTTCTCTCCTTTTCCACAGTAGGAAGTGTCCTCTTTCAGTGCCTGAAGCTTTGATTTCACCTTCTCTAACAGGTACATCAAGCAGCGTAGATCACTCCAAGTCTCTGTGAGCTCTGTGGTACAGACTCTTGAAATGAAAAATTCCATTGAATTGGTTCCAGAAGTGTGTGCTCTTTTCTAATCCTCCATTTATATGGTAATCACTTGAAATTCAAGTCATCTGTTACTAGGATTACAAGACAGAGGAATCAAATCTTTTCTTCTGGAGTTCTTTTAACTAATGCCTTTAAACCAAGGTCCTAGCTCTCATACTCACCTCAACTCTCTTTCTCTCTCCCCCTCCCTCCCTCCCTCTCCCTCTCCCTCTACCTCTCCCACTCTCTTTCATCTCTTTAGCTTTTTTAGATTTTTATGTGTTTTTAGATTTAGATTTTTTTTTAGATTTTTCTACAATACTTTCTCCTTACCCTTGTTAAAGCATTTGTTATCACTCCCATCTCCACTGCTTATATTTCTCATATGTACAAATATGCGTGCACATGCATACACACACTCACACGACTTCCTGGGCCAGCTCCAAGTCTGGGTGCTGTTTTACTGAGCTATCTACATTGGGCCTGTATCATTACTCCACAATATTACCATATTCCTGGAGGAGAATCCATTTTCTTGTCTATTTCTTATTTTGATCCACATGTCACATTAAAATGGAGCAAAAGAAAGGGTCTCAAAACAGACACTATGAGTGCCTTCTTAAGATGCTAGCCTTATAGAAACGATTTCATGTTTTCCAAAGAGGATCTGGTGCAGCCCAGCCGCGGCCAGTCACTTGGCGCCATCTGCTGGACAAAGACAAACTCGCAGGCAGGGGACCCGAGAACCGAAGCATTAGGCACCCACTGCAAACCTGGAACCCTAATGAACCCATGG